AGGAAAGGCAGGGCCAGGTGGGCGCCCAAGCGCAGGGAGCAGGCAGCGGCCCGAGCAGCCCGGCACAGGAGGGGCGAGCGCAGCTCCAACCGGTGGTGCCAGGCGGGGTCCTGGACCCGCGGCTGCTGGGAGGGCGGGCGGAGGTGGGCCTACGGCGATTGGAGATGAGCTCTCGGCGTCAGCCAATGGGCGGCGAGGGCGTCCAGGGGGGCGGGGCGGAAGCCGCATCTTAAGCTCGTGACGCGTCGCGGTCTCGGCTCCAGCGCAGTCGACGCCGCGTGTCCCGGGCCGACCCTTGAGGCGCAGACAGGTATCCGCGCCGGCTCTGCGGGGCCGGGGCTCGGGCGGCGGCCCTGGCGCACCACCCGGCGGCGTGCGGAGCGAACGGGCGCGGGTGGCCCTGGGCCGGGGCTCCGGGGGAGCGGGCTGAGGAGGCGCGCTGGGCCTCTGCGGCGGGTGTCGCTGGGCCTGGGAGCCGCGGGCAGAGGCGCGCGCATCCCGGCCGGGACGGCGGGAGGCAGAGGGGCTGCGGATGTGGCACCTTCGCCTTCCAGGGCGGGTGGGGCCGGCCGCGCCCCTCGCCCGCCTCCCTCCTGGTCTCCGGGCCCGAGCGCCTCGCGGTCTCTGCGCCCTGGCTCCGCGCCTCCCGTGCGCCTCAGGGCTTCCGGGAAGGGGGTGTCTGGGCGCCGGCGCGTGGAGCGGGGGCTCCGGGCGCCACGGGCTCCCGGGGTCGGCCAGTAGAGGGTGCATTCTGGGTACGGCGGGACGGCTCCATAATCGGGGCTTTCGTTACGGGCGGGGCCCCGATGGAGGCCGCTGAGGAGGGGTCGAGCCTCCCGGGCAGCCCCCGGGCCCCGGAGCCCAGCCTTCCCCTTCGTCCTCTAGCCTTGCTCCGAGTAACACGTTACGGAAACGGAGCCTCGCCTTACGGCGACACGCGCGTTCATGAGGGGGTGCGAGGGACGGGGGCCCACAGGGCTTGCGCCTGAAGGCATCGTCCTTCCGGCTCTTGGCCAGCGGTGCTGAGCGCCACGCACCCTGGGGGAATTCTGGGGTGCCCTCCCTTTGTCCCTTTGTCCCTCGCGATGTCCCTCTTACATTCTTGGTGTGCAGTTTTAACTATCTGATCGGTCAAGGTGATAAACTAAGGGGGGGGATGAGTGACTTTGGGGATGAAGTGGCTTTACTTTAAGAAATTACTCATCACCCGTTTTTTTTTTTGTTTTTTTGTTTGTTGGGGGGAGGGTTCCGGGGGGTGGGGAAGGAATCTTCAGTTTCTCAATTCTAAGTCTTCCGGCTTGTAAGAGAGCCCCTGTGGTTCTCCCCGTTTGAACTTGGGACGGTTCTTCAGGTATGCGAGCCGAATGCCTGATCCACTTGAAATACATGTTTGAAAGACAAGAAAGACTCCTTTCACGAGGCTCTCCTGGCTCCACCTTCAGAGACTCTAGTTCCTGACTATCAAAAAGATCCAAGTATGAAAAAGAGACGCTTTCGATAAAAACAAGGCTTCAGTAAAAAGCTTGTTATTTTGGGTTTATAATTTTTCATGGTGTTCAAGATTAATTGTGCGCCCCCTCCCCCCAAAAAGCCCAGTCAACTTTAAATGGATAAAATTCTTAAAAAGGCATTTTTTTCCCCCTTCAAAGAGGCTGCCTTATTTGTAGTCCCCACATACTCTGCCTGTATTACAGTTACTTACGTGCACATTTTATGCCCTTGACTGAGTTTTTGAGGATGGACTATATCCTGTACATTTAAAAAAAGAAAACGATGAATGGGCCAATTTTTGGAGGTGTGCGGAGGGTGTGGTCTAGCCCAGCCAGTCCCTTTTCAGTAGTACTGCTTAGTAGTACTGTTGAACAGTGACGCACCTGAGTTGAATTTTAGCCAGGTTATGTAAAAAACCAAACAAACCACAAAACACTTTTGTTGGCAGAACTTTTACAAAAGGACTGTATTTGTGAATGGTTACCTCAAGAAAAGTAAATATTTGACAAACATAGTAAAACCAAATGGACTCCAGTGGGATATTTTAAGTGGCTTTTTGATGAATTTGCACTGGTTTTTCTTTGAGTGATTTAAAAAAATAGTATTTCATAGTGTACACTGAATTAACTCTTCAGAATGTATTCTTTTATGGAAATTCTATTTTGGGTATATTCTAATGGAAATAGGTTGAATCAGATAGGAGGGAGTAATAGCTTGTTAATTATGTGGGTTACTGAAAACATTTGATGTTAAAACGTTTGCTGTCGATAGCAGTTTGTTCTCTTCTCCAGGGCCTGAGTGTGGGCCTTGGTTAAAATGCATGGCAGCAGCCTGGAATGGTCACACTGGTACAAGAGATTTTGACTTTTGAAGGCCTTTAAATCTAATCAGGTGAACTATTGATAGAAAGATTAGTTACTTCTGGGGATGTGTCAGAGAATGCTAGCCTCCTTTCGAGCTAGACCCAACTCCATTAGGGATATGTGATTTGTCTGTCGTGTGGTCTTTTCACTCCTTCTTGCTGCCTTGGCTCCTTCAAGGAGTCCTAAGTATCAGTGAACTTGGGAACGACCTCATTCATTTGACAGACAAGGAATACCAACCGAGTGCCCAAACCTGGGCTAAGTTCTGGGGATGCAAAGTGAATTTTAAGACATGGTTACTGTCCTTGAAGGAGCCTAGTAGGATTTTAGTAGGGGGACAGGCATGAAGACAAGTGTCCTGGAGTGTTAGGACCTGTGACAAGTCTGCAAGGTTCCTGGGAGTCTTCAGGAGGGTCTTACGTGGTAAATTCTGTGGGGGATGGTGAAAGAAAGCTACTGTGTATAGCCTTCATGCATAGAAAAAAACGGTGATGATTATCTCCATCAAGTATGGAATTGCTGGTAATTTTCTTGTCTGTTTCTAATTTTTTTAATCAGTAGAAAAATTTTACTATTTTTTTAAAAAAGCAAAACTCCAGTTTAAAAAAGAAACCATAGCACTGTGTTGATTTTTATATTTTAAACTCCAGTTTAAAAAAGAAACTGTGGCTCTGTTGAAATAGGCTAAATCCATTATGAATTTAAAGGAGGAAGGGAACTAATTGAGTGGCCGTTCGTGCTAGGTTTGGGCGCTTTAACATAATCTCATTTAATCCTCAGTAATGACCTTGAATGACTTCAACCTCATTTACAAATGGGGAAATTGAAGCTCAAAAAGATCACCCAAAGACTCCTAAGAGCCCTGGCTAGAATTTAATTCCTGGTCTCTAGACTTTGGACTTTCCACTCGCCTCTCCTAGTTTTTCAGGCCTTTTTGGAAGGGAAAGTTACTGGTGTTGGCTATTTTTAAGCCCATCTTTATTCTGTTCTGATGTTTCTCGTGCAGTGCCAAGCACAGTAACTTGAACACAGAGGTTCTGTAACGTAAATGTGCTTACAGGATTCTGGCACATCATCTTGCATCCAACAGCAGGACTTTCCCCAGTTGAATTAAATACCCAGAGTTGATCTTTAAAAACCTTAAGGATGATTGTTAGTAAAGTTTTGAATGTTATTGTTTTGTCAATAAGTTGTGGTTTCTCTTTAATAAGACTGCCTGAACTTGGTGGAAAAATGGATACTTTCTCCTATTTCTGTTGTGAGTTAGCTGAACAAATTTAACTTGTATAAAATGAGAATGTTGAATTTAGATAATTTCAAACCCTTTCACTTGCAATATTGTATCAGCCTGTTAATTAACTTAAAAGATGCTTGTTATTTTTAAACCTCCTTTTTGTTTTTTGTTGTTGTTTTTTTTTTTTTTAGTACCTCTCTGCCCGGTTCTAGTGAAGTCACAGAGCTGTAGATCTTGATAGCAAGATAATCTTAGAGGATAGTTTTTATTTTACAATTTGACTGTCCCCCAGAAAGAAATGAACTGCACTTTCTAGGGATATTGACTTCTACCATTTTTTAAACCACAATTCATTTTCTCAAAGCGTCTTAAAACCCTTTTTTTTCCTTCTAGTTTTGTTTTGTATGTTGTCTAAGCTTTCTATTTGTCTAAGGAGAATCTAGACAGACATTCAGTTTCATTTTTAATAACTTTTCTGATTGTACATGTAATTCATGATCATGAGAAAATGTGGAAAATACAGAATAGTGGAAAGATAACCACAGTGAACTTTTTTGTGCCTTTTCAGTGTTGTTTTTCCCTTATATATTTTGCAGTTAAGTACTCTGTATATATGATCTTATTTTCTGCACTTAAAACGTCTCTTCATGTCATTAAAAACTGTAATTACTTTAAATGGTAACATGTCATGTACATGATTACGTGGAACCATTCTCATATTCAACATCTTATGTATGAACGTTCACATTTCTGAGCATTTCTTTACGATAGAATCTTGTGAGTGAAATTACTGGTCTAGGAATACAAACACTTCTAAGGCCTTTATTATGACTGTTGTTTGTTCAGAAAGTGTTGTAGTTTAGAGTACCACTAAGGACTGTTGTATTTTATTACTTATTTGATGAAGGCAAAAGTTAATGTGTTTAATTTTTTTGTTGGTCAAATAAAGTATTAATTCTTACTGAGTAGAACATAAAGAGCCCAAGAAGTAAAGTTAAAATCAATGTTTTAGACTTAGCAGTGGTATTTGGAGAAGTTCTGTCTAGTACAGCTAGACATTTTTGCATTTTTGTTAGCAGCTATCTCCAGTTTATTTCCTTTTTTTTTTTTTTTAAAGATTTTTATTGGGGAATTTGGGGGATGGGAACAGCGCTGGGGGGTTGGGGGAAGGGGAACAGACAAGTCGTTGTCGTTTTGTTCTTCAGTCTAGTTGTGGAGGACGCCGCCCCACTGGCCCAAGTTGGCACCATCACTGCGCTCTTCCCGGGCGAGGCAGATCAGTCGCCAGCCTCTGGATGGCCACTCACTGCAGCTGCTGGCGACTCACGGCAGCCCAGCTCCAGGTTGAGCTGTTGTTCAGCATCTTAGCTGCAGAGGGCAGTGTCACCGGCCCTCATATGTGGGATCCGAACCGGGGCCCTCTGGTGTCCCAAGCCAGTTCTTAACCATCACGCCACTCGGCCGGCCCTCCAGTTTATTTCTTATATAACTTTTTTGTTAATACACACCTCTCTGAGATAAGATCTGGTGAAAGCTAGGGATCTTCTTAAAGAATGCACTTAGCATACAACTCTGCATTATTTCAGGAGTTAATTGGACCCTGAAGACCATCCCTGGATCTCCGGTTAAAAATCTGTATTCTAACCCAAACCGTGGGAAGAAAGGGTAGTTGGTGAATCTTGGCAAATTGAGTGCTGGATTTTGTTTAGTACTTGCTAATTCCTGAACGTATTGGATTTACTGGGTATGCCAAGTAAAGTGGAGCCCGCCAAGGTCCAAGTATTAAGTTTTGCTTATTTGGCAGCTTGTGGTATGCTGGGTGATTCCGTCCCTACATAAATACCTGCGGTTCAGCCTTGCCTGACTCCCCTTGTCCTTGAGTGAGTTCCTTGTCCTTCTGGTGCTCTCAGCACTGAGGACTTAAAACAAAGTGTGTGTGTGTGTGTGTGTGTGTGTGTGTGTGTGTGTGTGTGTTATAAAACTGTCAAGTGGTACTGAAGGCTGTTAAGTGAGAAGTAAAAGTTCCTGACCTCATCCATTGTTTTTCTCTTTTTTTTTTTCATATTCTCTTGGACTTCTAGCCCGCAGCACTATGTGCCCCTCCCACTTCAGCGCTTGTCAGGTTTTACTGCAAATATTTATATATTTATTTGTTCCCCTGGTTCACCTTCAAGCTTCCCAAGGGTCTTAGTTCTCTCTCATTTTCTTGATTGTTTTTGGTGGACTGTGGCAAATGCTGAACAATATTTAATGAGTCAACACACATCGACTCAGAAGATTGTTACTCTTGATGCCTTCTCTTTTCTTTGGCCAGGTCGGTGATATTCCTGCTTGAAGAACACGATGTTTTCCAAACTAGCGCACTTCCAGACTGTTGCTGTGCTTCGCCGAGGAGTTCACTCTTCAGTGGCTTCTGCTACATCTGTTGCGACTAAAAAAACAGTCCAAGGCCCTCTATCCTCTGATTACATTTTTGAACGGGAATCTAAGTATGGGGCACACAACTACTATCCTTTACCTGTAGCCCTGGAGCGAGGAAAAGGTACAGTTGGAATCAGTCCAATTTCTCCCACTTTATTGCTTGAAGCCTTTTGTAAAAATTGCTTTTATAATTTCTCAGTATACATCTTTCCAGTTGCACTTAATTTCTGTGTTGCAGATCTGTTTAATTCAACATTTATTGAGTGTCCTAAGTGCTTGCTGTGTTAGGTGCTGTGGGGAATATAAAGATGAACTTGTTCATCTTTGTCACGATGGACCTTGCCAGGAGGGAATGTAAGATACCTAAGTAAAGTGCTAGAATACTGCTCATTTTTTTCCCCTTTAACTTCTTTTTAATTTTTTAATTTTTTTTATTGGGGAATTGGAACAGCGCTGGGGAATTGGGGGAAGGGGAACAGACAAGTTGCTGTCGTTTTGTTCTTCAGTCTAGTTGTGGAGGACGCTGCTTCACTGGCCCAAGTTGGCACCATCATTGCGCTCTTCCTGGGCGAGGCAGATCAGTCGCCGGCTTCTGGACGGCCGCTCATGGTGGCTGCTGGCCACTCACGCTGGCTGCTGGCCACACATGGTAGCCCATGGCAACCCACTGCCACAGGGGCTGCAGTCTATGCCATCGCCGGCGACTCATGGCAGCCCAGCTCCAGGTTGAGCTGTTGTTCAGCATCTTAGCTGTGGAAGGCAGTGTCACTGGCCCTCATATGTGGGATCCGAACTAGGGCCCTCTGGCGTCCCAGGCCAGTTCTTAACCATCACGCCACTCAGCTGGCCCTCCTTTAACTTTTATTTTGGCGTAATTTTAGACTTAAAGAAAGAAAAGTTGCAACAATAGTATGAAGAATTTTTTTTATTCTTCACCCAGATTTCCTGAGTGTTAATGTTTCATCACATTTGCGTTACTGTATTTTGCCATGTATAATGCGCATCCTTATTTTCCCCTCACAAATTTGGGCAAAAAAGTGTGCATTATACATGGCAAATACAGTATTTTCTTTTGCCCCCCCCAGCCCCCACACACATACACTCTCACACTCACACACTCTCACATATTCACACAGTCACATACTCACACATACACGCAATATATTTTTTCCTAAAGTGTTTGAGAGGAAGTTGCAGACATGATCCCCGTTAACCCCTAAATTCTGAGTGTGTCTTCCCTGAAACACAAGGACTTTCTCTTATGTAACGACAGTGAATTGTCAAAATCAGGAAATGAATACAGCACCATTATCTAATTTCCAGATTTCATTGGTTGTTATGTATAGCAAAAGAAAATCTCAGGGGCCGGCCGAGTGGCGCAGTGGTTAAGAACTGGCTTGGGATGCCAGAGGTCCCCGGTTCGGATCCCACATATGAGGGCCAGTGACACTGCCCTCCACAGCTAAGATGCTGAGCAACAGCTCAACCTGGAGCTGGGCGGCCGTGAGTCGCCGGCAACGGTGTAGGCTGCAGCCCCTGCTGCAGTGGGTTGCCATGGGCTACCGTGTGTAGCCAGCAGCCAGCGTGAGTGGCCAGCAGCCAGCGTGAGCAGCCAGCAGCCGCCGTGAGCGGCCGTCCAGAAGCCGGCGACTGATCTGCCTCGCCCGGGAAGAGCGCAATGATGGTGCCAACTTGGGCCAGTGAAGCAACGTCCTCCACAACTAGACTGAAGAACAAAACGACAGCAACTTGTCTGTTCCCCTTCCCCCAATTCCCCAGCACTGTTCCCATCCCCCCAATTGCCCAATAAAAATCTTAAAAAAAAAAAATCTCAGATCATGGTTACCTTCAGTTTTTAGGTCTGTTTAGTTTCCTTTAATCCAGAACAATTTTTCGTCCTTTGTCTTCTTGACCTTGATATTTTAAAGAGTACAGTTCAATAATATTAAAGAATGAACCTCAATTTGGGGTTGGCTGGTAAGATAGTGTCTGCCAGACTGCTCCACTGCAAAGTTTCTGTTCTTCCCTTTTGAATATCTTGAGGGTACATGGTTTCAGACTGCAAACTTTTTCTCACAACTTTAGCATCCATTAATGATTCTTGCCTAAATAAATAATTACTAATAGTTGCCAAATAGTGATTTAATCCACATTTAACAGCCTAATCCTAATATAAATAAATAAAATAACCAAAGTTTATTACTTTGCTTTGGGCCAGAAGATGATGTATAAGAGTATTAAACATTTTTGCCTGTATTTCTTTTGGGACCAGTACTGTAATATATATATTTGAACACATGAAAATGTTAGATTTATATGAGTGTTGACAAAAAACATCCAACGTAAGAGAAAGTTTATAGGAGTTTATTTAAGCCAAACTGACAACAATTGTTGGAAAGCAAAGTTTCAACGGATTGAGAAAATGCTCCGGAAAATGGCTGTTTTGCAACTTATTTTATACCTTAGAATCAAAGGAGGGTTGCATGAAATCCATTGGTTGTAGATAAGGAGGTGGGAGAGAGCAAAGTGGGGAAATTGTTGGGATTGGATAAAAGTAAAGTGGAGAGACATACTTTTTTTACAATGGTGGGTACATGATAGTTAATAGCATTTTACAGCACAAGAGATGATGGTATTTGGGGAACAAGATAACAATGAGGGATTTTGTAGTTTCCTGCTTGGGTGGGGTGGGTTGTGTCCCCTGGGCTGGCCGGTGGGAGGTCTGGAAAGGGATTACTCTGACCAAGGGTATGTTATCTTAGATGCTAAAAGACAGCAGATAGGCTCACTTAAGGCAAAGATTGACCTTTGTCAAGGAAGTTACAGGCCAAGGATGTGACTTCCAGCCATGGCCCACCTTAGTTAGGAATTTTTATGTTACACGCCATCCTGTGTGGTTATTTTCAGTCTCCTGAACTTGTCAGGTTTAACATGTGGCTCCTTTTCTGTCCCCATGAGTTTGGAACCAGTTTGGTTTGCAAAAATATTCACTTACAGTAGCTGAGTATAGACTCTGGAATCTGACTGGATTCAGGTCTGGGTTCTGTGCATGCCAGCTGGGGCTGGTGTGGCTAATCCCGCTTCTCCAGTCATGCCCCCTGATGTTTCTGTTAATACAGTCCCCATAAGATTATAATGGAGCTGAAAAATTCCCATCACTTGTCACTTAGTGGTAGCAGCCATAACTCAGTGCATTACACAAATACCATTGGGTCATAATTGCCACAGTATTGAAACGGCCTGGTTGGCACCCCATAGTAAAGGCCTCCCCACGTCCCTGGCCCCACCTTTCCTTGACCTACCTAAAATTTAACAATAGATCATCCCCTAGCTGCTTGAGCTCAGAATGTCCCCTGTCCCACCCAGTTCCCTGTTTTAGAAAATTACCCTGAAATTTGTGATCAATAAGCCTAAGGGTATTTATTAGTCCTAATCTCAATGGCACCAGGCTGATCCCATCATTGTTCCTGGGTGGCCTCTGGAAGAATGCCCAGATTTTCCCTGAAAAACCTCAGGCTGGTCTGAGAATGGTAAGGCAGTTTTGGGAGGTGTTAACCCGCTGCCTTCTCAGACCGCAGGTGCTCTGATAATAAACACTTATTCTGTGACCCAACTCCTGTGTCGGTCTATTGGCTGAGCGGCGCAGGCAGAGCGAGCCCCGGACTCGTTGGCCTCCGGTTTCAGTATCAGTACAGTGACATGCTGCACAGGTTTGTAGCTTAGAGCTGTAGGGGAACAGAATTTGTCACCCCAAAATATGTCTCTTTGGCATAAGGATTGGTTTAGGCTGGTTAAGTTTAAGGAAGGCCGACATGGCAGAAGCTCTGAAGACCAAGTAGAAGCTACGCTTTGTAAAGGATATTTACATTTGTGAGGGAAAATTCCCATTTGTGAGGGTGTTTCCTTCACTGTTCCCGGAAAGGGGAGATGACCTTACCTCTAGAAACTTACCTGAGTAGAAATCTGCATGACAACCTTACCCTTGGTGACTGCTTTCCCCCTTGATGACTCCCCCACCCCCACCCCCATCTATCTTCAGCTGATGGGTGAGTGACTCAGTGTTCCTGGTCTCTCCCATGTATACAGAAGGTATACATGTCATTAAACCTTTGTTTATTTTTCTCCTGCTTATCTGTCATTTATTACAGTGGTATCTCAGCCAAGAACCCAGAGGGTAGAGGGAAAATTATTTTTCCTCCTCTGTGGAGCAACAGGCTGTCCCATACAGCCTAGGTGTGTAATAGGCTGTGCACCGTCTAGGTTTGTGTAAGTGCTCTCTGAGGTTCCCACAGCAACAGAATTGCCTGAAGACACGTTTCTCTAACGTATTCCTGTCTAACAGCTGGCATTACCTTATCTCTGTACTGCAGGGATGGTGACACTCATTTTGGGGTGTTTTGATGAGAAGCGCCTAACATAATATATTAAGTATGTGGTCAAGTTAGGTGTTAAGCCCCTCAGTACATTTTAATATGTATAGTCAACTTAAAAAAATTTGTAAAGTGTACATAACTTGAAATTTACCATTTTAACTATTCAGTTCAATGGCATTAAGTACACTTAAACCTTGTACAGCTATCACCTCTAACTAGTTCCAGAACTTGGGAACCCCATACCCATTAAACAGTCATTCCCCAGTCCCTCCTCAACCTGGCAGCCACTAATCTGTTCTCTGTCTATGGATTTGCCTATTTTGGGTATTTCATATAAATGGACTCAGACAGTATGTGGCTTTTGTATCTGGCTTCTTCCACTTAGCATTATGTGTCAAGTTCATCTGTGTTGTAGTGTACTTCATTGCTTTTGATGGTTGAATAATAATTTCGTTGTATGGATAGGCCGTGTTTTGTTTATCCATTCATCAGTTGATGGATACTTGGGTTGTTTCCTCCACTTGACTATTGTGAATTGTGCTGCTATGAGCATTCGTGTACACATTTTTATTTGAATACCTGTCTTCCACTTTTTTGGGGTATTTACCTAGGAGTGGGATTGCTGGGTCTTACGATAATTTAATTTTAACTTATTGAAGAGCTGCCAAACTATTTTCATAGCTGCTGCATCACTTTACATTCCCACTAGCAATATATAAGAGTTACAATTTCTCCACATCCTTGCCAACACTTGTTTTCCATTTTTTAAAATTTAGATTATAACCTTAGTGAGTGTGAAATGTTATCTATTACTGTGGTTTTGGTTTGTATTTCTCTAATGACTTGAGATATTGAGCATCTTTACATGTGCTTGTTTGTCATTTGTATATCTTTGTATATATCATTTATTCTTTGGAGAAATGTCCATTTTAGTTTTTTGCCCATTTTTTAATTGGATTATGTATCTTTGTTGTTGAGTTGTAAGAGGACTGGATACTAGATCCTTATAGGATAGATATATGATTTGGAAATATTTTTTTCCTCATTATCTTGATTGTTATAGTAAACTAATCATGATTTTTATGTTATGTATAACTTCTGCCTTTTAAATTCTAACTTTAAATTCCAAACCCCAGTGTTTTTTTTTAAAGATTTTATTGGGGAATTGGGGGAGGGGAACCACATTGGGGAATTGGGGGAAGGGGAACAGACAAGTTGCTGTCTTTTTGTTCTTCAGCCTAATTGTGGAGGACGTTGCTTCACTGGCCCATGTTGGTATTATCGTTGCGCTCTTCCCGGGAGAGGCAGATCGGTCGCGGGCCCCTGGATGGCCACTTATGGTAGCTTACGGCAGCTCATGCCAGCCACTCATGGTAGCTTATGGGGCAGCCCACTGCAGCTCCACTGCAGCCTACGCCGTCGCCGGTGACTCATGGCAGCCCACCTCCAGGTCGAGCTGTTGTTCACCATCTTAGCTGTAGAGGGCACAGCATCACTGGCCCGCATGTGGGATCTGAACCGGGGCCCTGCTGCGCAGAGCTGGTGTCCCAAGCCAACTCTTAACTAACGTGCCACTCGGCTGGCCCCCAAACTCCAGTTTTAAGGAGTAAAGATTTCACTCTAGAGTTTATAAAAATCTTTTTATGTTACGCTGTTCTTGTTAAGTATTTGAAGCTGGACAGATAAAATGTAATTCCTTATAAAACCAGGGTTAATTATGCTTGAACTAAAGCATGCCTTAACCACAATTACATTTTAAACAGAGGTTCATATGTAGATATTCAGAGGACCTGTTATCAGTCTTAATTTTTGAACTTTATGTAATTTTGTGATTTTTCTAGAATTATTTTCCTTATATATTTTAGGTATTTACGTATGGGATGTAGAAGGGAGAAAATATTTTGACTTCCTGAGTGCTTACAGTGCTGTCAACCAGGGGCATTGTCATCCAAAGATTGTGAATGCCCTGAAAAGTCAAGCAGAAAAGCTGACCTTAACATCTAGGGCTTTCTACAATAATGTACTCGGTGAATATGAAGAGTATATTACTAAACTTTTCAACTACCACAAAGTTCTTCCTATGAATACAGGTAAAATATTTCCTTTCTTTATTTTAATAGCCAAGAAAATAGTTTTATTATTTTCTGGTAATTTAAAACATCTTTTAAAACTGAGAAATTTTTTCTCTTGATAGGAGTGGAGGCTGGAGAGACGGCTTGCAAACTTGCTCGTAAATGGGGATATACTGTTAAGGGTATTCCGAAATACAAAGCAAAGATTGTTTTTGCAGGTATGTGACATTCAACGTTAATCTCTGTGATTTAAACATACAATTACCATTTACTGCTGTAATTTACTGATGAAATATTTCTAATGTGTTTACTTCATTCGTGATACATTATTTTCATAAAAATTCAGAGATTTCCTTTTCTTTGTTTATTTCCAAATATTTGTTCATATATAGGGTTTTCTCTTCTAAATAACTCCCTATTCCTCTCTCAAAATGAGTGACTGTATGATTTATTTCTAATCTGCTTATCTGATTTTTTTTGTAGCAGTTTTCTGGTTAATTAGGTGTTCTTACTGGTAGAGAGCATTTTTGTGAGGTTGGGTTATGCTACAATGTGGCCATGTCCTAGGTATGATGTGAAATTTGAATCTTAATATTTGATGTATTGTATTAAGTTCTTAGAAGTTGTTGGAAGAGGAGGGCTGGGGTCGCCCTAGATATATTTCTGGGAATGATTGAGAGGAATGATGTGAATACTGATTGGGGAGACCAACAGTTAATTCAGATGATATAATCTGACTTTTGGGATCTTCATAATGATGTTCAATTGATAGGTTCTGATTTTTTATTTTTTTAAGCTTTGGTTTTAATTTTTAAAAACCAAGTATGGATACTTTGTTTTTAAAAATTAAAACCAGAGCTTGGATAAACTTGTCACTGCACATGGTCAAAATTCACTCTTATGATAGTTAAAATCATGAAGTATCCTGCCTTGTGAACAAGTGCAGCTAAATTACAGACCCCATAACATAATAGAATCCAGGACTTCAACTTGATGGCCGGCCATACTTGGTATTTGGTGGTGGGAGGACAGATTACTATTCCCAAAGAAGGAGAAATCTTTGCACAGTTCTATGACCTGCCACTTTGGAATCTTGTGCCTTAGTTGTAGGACAACATAGCTGTCTCTTCCAAACAAAAGTGGCATTTCTGGTGATTTTTATTCTTGTAGACTGTATCTGGTCTCTTTGATAGTAGCAAAGGGTGCACAGGTGTCTTCACCTGAGCATTGAAAGAAGCTGGTAAGCCTGGGGTTGTTCCCAGCTGTACGTCCTTTATACTACAGGGTGGATGGAGGATGAGACTTCTGAAGCAGGATGGATGAGAGCAAATAGGCTCATGGTATCATTGGTGCATTTTCTCTTAAACAAGCCTGGTCCTGGTCAATACGCTGCCACTTGTGGACAGTGAGGTGGAGATTACTCGTAGGTGAGCGAGGCTTTCCAAGAGTAGTGTTTAGAGATGCTGTGAAGCCAACATATAGTAATTCAGTATTGGGTTAATTGAGTCCGTGCTGGGGAAGACATTAAAAAAAAAAAAAAAAGGAGAAACCCCAAGCCTCTCTGTTATTCTACATTGTTTTTTTTTTTTTCTTTCTTCAATTTCACCCAGTTGAAATGATCTCACACATTTGCTTTGTTATGGTGTTGCTCCCTTGCTAGAATATAAGCTCCGTGAGAGCAGGGAACTTGCCAATCACAGTCACCATTGTACCCCCAACACATGGAACACTGCCTGACACAGTAGGTCCTCAGTGAAGTTTATTAGTGCAATAAATTAATGGGTAACAAATGTACTTGTACAATGGCAGATGTCTGCCATTGAGCAAGTAAAAGATTAGAATACCAAGGAAGGCAGAATTGAAAGTGTTTGGATTGCCTGAGGATGTTTCCTCCAAATGAAATTTAAAATTCATTCTGTAGAATAGTTAGCCTGGAACATTGGATTTTTAAAAAGAAAACATTCTCTGTGAAGGATAGTCTGTCATATCACTTACATAAAAGCGCTGTCTCTAGAAAAGCTGTATGGAATACCTCGGTTGTTAGGGTTTGGGATTATCGAGAGAGAGGACGATTATCTCTCTATCCTTGGGCTCTGTATTCCAGTCGGGAGTTCGGTAGAGAAGTGCCTAAAATAGTGATGCTCAGATGAGCCATGGTGTTGAATATCAGATTTTGTTTTAACACATGGAAGCTCACTGGAGGTTCTCTAAAGCAAACCCTTTGTTTTTCAAAAGTCAAATTCCCTATGGTATTTTTGGGGATTGTGCTTAGTAAATTTGGGGGTTTGTTTGAAATAATCACTTTGCTTCTCCTTTCTAGCTGGAAACTTTTGGGGTAGGACTATATCTGCTATCTCCAGTTCTACAGACCCAACCAGTTATGATGGTTTTGGACCATTTCTGCCCGGTTTCGAAATCATTCCGTATAATGATCTGCCTGCTCTGGAGGTACTGCACTAGCATCACACACTTTTAGCTCATAGTTAATAGAAATTAAATGCATTGAATGTGTGAATTAAAAATAGGTGTGTGACTGGAATGAAAATCTGTTTTATTGAAGTTAGGCCAGGATTTCAGATTGGCTTCTGCGATGGTGAGTCAATTTCCAACATGGGGAACCGGGTTCTAATCCTGACAACCAGCTAACTGCTTTAGATCTGTACCCTGTATAAGTAGTAACTTGGATAGCACCTGTTTAATTACTCTACTGGACAAAGTTACTTGGTTTTCAGCTAACTTTTAAAAATTATGAATGGAGGACATGTAAACTAAAAAGATGCACTTAAAATGGCTTTTACAAAGGCCATTTTCTCTAACTTTTAGTTATAGTACATTTAGGTATAAGAAAATGTAGGGTAGAGTAGCTTAAAGCTGAAGTATGTGGAGCTTTTAGTAATTAAATGTTAGTCAAAAATGTTATACTTTGAAGTCGGAATATAATTTGGTGCAAAAACTTAATTTGTATACTTATTCTTAACAGGAAAATTTGTACAGTATGTGATTTCAGATTTCCAAGTAGGTGAGAAAGGAAGTTACTAAAATATATTCCTATTTCTTTTGTAGCGTGCTCTGCAGGATCCAAACGTTGCTGCGTTCATGGTAGAACCAATTCAGGGTGAAGCGGGCGTTATTGTTCCGGATCCAGGCTACCTGATGGGCGTGCGAGAACTGTGCACCCAGCACAAGGTT